GCTCTATCAAGGAATTCAGATTTCAATTTTAGCTAATTAAAAGAAGTGTTAAAATCAGAGGAATAATGTAATTTAAGTTTTAAGGTCACTTGCTGTCCCGTGTCCCGTGGATAGATTGGTCAGTCATATTAGTTAGACACAGACTTGGCTGTGTGTAACACTTCCTTAAATGGATTGGATGTGTATTTCTCTTTCATGCAGTGGTCTGGAGGTGTAGTCAGTAGTCTGCCATTCTTAGGGAATGGCCTTACCTGTATGGGTCAGGATGCCTTGTCACCTCCATTGTCAAAGCCTCGGGGTAGAGAAAGGGCCAAAGTGGGACGTGCTCTGGCTTTTTGAAAATCTGGTTGTTGCTGTTACCACGTTCTGGTGTCTAGAACTTGAGTTCCATATCTAGTTTTGAGGGAGGCTTAGAGAGGAGGCCTCCATACCCAAGTCATGTTCCCTTTTCATTTATGGCTGTATAATATTAAGTGGTATAGATACGCCAGTTTCCTTGGTGTCCTGTTATTGGATAAGTAGCCTTTAAATTTTTTAGTGAGTAACATAATGAATATTTTCTTCTATCTCAGTAGTACTGGATTATGTGTACATACTCATTTCATGGTGTTTACTTATTGCCATGTTTTTGCTGTCTAAATTAGCAGGGGAAAAACATTAGAGAATATGAGTTTTATATTTGATTGTTAGTAAAAAACCTTCTGGTTCTTTTTTTTTCATAAATTTTATTATGGGATATTGAATGTGTACACAAAAGTTGACAATAGTATAATGAATATCTTTGTACCCATTGTGTAGCTCTTAAAATTACCAACTCATAGCCAGTCTTGCTATATTTAAGCCTCTGTCCTAATTTCCTCCTGTATAATTTTGAATCAAATTCCAGACATCATATAATTTCATCTGTAAATATTTCAATATGTAAATGCGTTTTCATATGATTGTTATCCTATTGTATTAGCTCTTTTATGAATTATTTGTCCATGTCCATGGTGTATATTTTTTCATTTTCAGTAATTGTATACATTTTAAATTTTTTTTTTTTTCAACGTTTATTTATTTTTGGGACAGAGAGAGACAGAGCATGAACGGGGGAGGGGCAGAGAGAGAGGGAGACACAGAATCGGAAACAGGCTCCAGGCTCCGAGCCATCAGCCCAGAGCCCGACGCGGGGCTCGAACTCACGGACCGCGAGATCATGACCTGGCTGAAGTCGGACGCTTAACCGACTGCGCCACCCAGGCGCCCCAATAACTACCTTTTAAACATCAACCTTAGATGCTTCAGAAACATCTCAAACTTAGCATGTCCAAAATTTCACTTATTATCCTTGTCCAAATTAAGGCCCATATAGAAAACTGAGCCTTTATTTATTGTCTATATATTAAAATGTATACAATTGGGGCGCCTGGGTGGCGCAGTCGGTTAAGCGTCCGACTTCAGCCAGGTCACGATCTCACGGTCCGTGAGTTCGAGCCCCGCGTCGGGCTCTGGGCTGATGGCTCGGAGCCTGGAGCCTGTTTCCGATTCTGTGTCTCCCTCTCTCTCTGCCCCTCCCCCGTTCATGCTCTGTCTCTCTCTGTCCCCCCCACCAAAATAAATAAATAAATAAACGTTGAAAAAAAAAAATAAAAGGTAGTTATGGGGGCGCCTGGGTGGCTCAGTCGGTTGAGTGACTGACTTCGGCTCAGGTCATGATCTCACGGTTTGTGAGTTCGAGCCCCGCATCGGGCTCTGTGCTGACAGCCCAGAGCCTGGAGCCTGCTTCTGATTCTGTGTCTCCCTCTCTCTCTGCCCCTCCCCAACTCATGCTCTGTCTTTCTCTGTCTCAGAAATAAATAAACATTAAAAAAAGATTAAAAAAAATAAAAGGTAGTTATGTACAGACTGTGCTTTTTCTTTTGTCAAAATACGGGTGCTTGGTGAAGACTTGGGGATGGATGATGTTACTCAGGGAGAGTTGGCGGAATGAGCAGCAAAAGCTGCAGATTGATGCTTATAAATTATTTAAGGGTGGGCATAGAAAAAGACACCTGTGAAGAAGACTAAGAAGAAGGGTTTTAGAAAAAAAGTCTAGAGAGAGCAATGTCTAAGAAAAGAACGGTTATTAACACTGTCAGATGTAGCAGAGAGATTGAACCCAATATGGGACTTGAACTCACAGACTATGAGATCATGACCCGAGGTGAAGTCGGATGCTTAACTGACTGAGCCACCCAGGTACCCCCTTTGTTCCCATTTTTTAAAAAAGTCATGTCTATACTAATATGGGGCTTGAACTCATGACCCCGAGATCAAAAGTCAGATGCTATACTGACTGAGCCAACCAGGTGCCCCCTTTCCCTTTTATTCTTAAGGGGCATTTTTGCTGGATAGGAATTTTGAATTGAGAGCCCTTTTCTTACAGTACTTTACAATGTTTTTTTCACTATTTCTACTTTCCATGGTTTCTGATGAGAAATGTACAGTCACTGGAATTGTTCTCCTAAATAAATGGTTGTTTTACCTGGGTTGCTTTCAAATTTATTTTGTTGTTTTAGTGTTTGGTATGGGTTTCTTTGAATTTATGTTGTTTGAGATTCATTGACCTTGCTGAAATTGTAAGTGTATATCTTTAACCAAATTTGGGGAGTTTTCTGCTGCTGTTTCTTCAGATACAGTTTTTGCACTCTTTCTCATCTCTTTTTGGGATTCTGATAACATGAATGTTACACTTTGTGATTCTTTCCCATTAGCCCTGTTCATTTATTTTTTCTACCATTTTTCTGTCTATTCATCAGATTGGATAATTTCTATTGCTTTAGCTTCAAGCTCACTGACTCTTTTCTTCATTATCTCCATTCTGCAGTTGAGTGCCTCCAGGGAATTTTGGGTTTTATCTTGGTTATTGTATTTTTTAGTCCTAAAATTTTATTTTGTTTCACACAGTCATACACACACACACACACACTAATCTTATTTCTCTGCTGACACTCTGTTTCTTTCAAGAATATTCTTGTCTCTTTCTTTCAAGAATATTCTTGTTGACTTTTTTTTTTTTTTTTTAAGATTTTATTTTTGAGTAGTCTCTACACCCTGTGGATGGAGCTCCAGCTCACAACCCTGAGATCAAGAGTTGCATGCTCCACTGACTAAGCCAGCTAGGTGGCCCTTCTATTTTTTTTTTTTTTTTTCTTTGTTTTAATGTTTAATATGTTTTTTATGTGAAAGTGAGCAGAATTGGGGTAGGGGCAGAGAGAGAGGGAGACACAGAATCCAAAGCAGGCTCCAGACTCCAGGCTCCGAACTGTCAGCACAGGGCTGATGTGGGGCTCGAACCCAAGAACTGCAAGATCATGACCTGAGCCAAAGTTGGATGCTTAACCAACTGAGCCACCCAGGCACCCCCGTCTTCCTGACTTGAAGCATGGTTATAATAATTGCTTTAAAGTCTTTGATCATTCCAATGTCTTTGTCATCTTGGATTTATTGTGTGTAGGTTGTCTTTTCCCTTGTGAGTTCTTGAGAGTTTCCTAGTTGTTCAGTTGTCAAGTGATGTTGGATTGTATATAGACATTTTAATGTTATGTTATCATATTGTATGTCTTATTTAAATCCAATGGAGAATAATTTTGCAGGTATTTAAAGCAGGTATTTATTTGACTTTGTTTTAAAGCAGGTATTTATTTGACTTTGTTAGGTTCAGATCACAAGTTTCCACCCACCTTTTGTGCACTAAAATTCCAATATTTAGTTTTCAAAGCCTTTGCAGAGTTGTTCTGATCTGTTCTGCATGTGTACCACTTACTGGCTAATTTGGGAACCTGATAGTATGATTAGGGTCAGACACACACATGCATAGCTCTGGAGTGACCCCAGGAGTGTTTATGGAACTTTGTGGTATCATTTTCTTGGCTCCTTTGTCTTTGCAATAACTTTCTCCCTGATAACTTTCTGGCTCCTACAGACCCTTCTTCCTTGTCCTATGGCTGGACAGCTGAGGCTTTCATTTCTCTGTTTTGCTGTATATTCCACAACTGGATCTGCCTTTGATGGCAAACAATAGGATGACAGAGAAAGAATATAAGCCATGTGGATTCCCTTCACACCTAGGGGATTAGAAGGGTTCTGTTTTGTTGGAGTTTTCAGTCCCTGTTCAACCATTGCTGGTATCACCACTGCCAAGGATGCTGTCTTGGCTTGTCTGGGGGCATAGGTCAAGAGAAAGGGGGGAAACCTCAGAAAACCGCCTCTCCCTAGGGGACCCCTTTACTGGTCCTCAGATCAAAAAAGAGAAGAATTCTCTTGAGAGCCATTTCTGCCTGCTGTTAGTGGACAGTTCTGAATTTGTACTGCCTTTGAGTTTAGACTGAGTGGTCCCAGAGCAAATAAAATCAGGAAACTCACTTAGGGGTTAGTAAAACTTTTAGTTGTGGTTTTGTACTCCAACCCGATTGCTACCCGAATGCATGGAGATAGCTGCTCCATGCATTCCATCCAGGTTTTTAGTCATATTCAGCAGGAGATAAACTATGCTTACTCCTTTTTTACCAGAACCAGGAAATTTTGTTACAACTGTATTGTTCATTTGTTTTGGTTAAGAATTTATTGAGCATTCATGCCATACTCAGCTTTGCTGGGAATGTAAAGATGATAATCTCAAACTACCTATAGTAGATCCACAGTTAGGCATGTGACATGGGGGTGGAGGCAGAAAGTACATAATTTTATACTAAACACTACTAATAAATAATTTAGTTATTAATCTTAATCTTTTTTGATCCATTTCTGTTTCAGGACTTGACATATTGTTTGTGACTAAGAGAGAAGAACCTGTTTATATTCCATTAATTTTCCATTTTTCTTATTGTCCCAAAATTAAAGGGATAAAAAGTCCCTGGATATGTATGTGCTGGATGAAATTAATACATAGTTATAAGAATAAGAACTATAATTATACACATAATTATAATAAGAACTTAAAATAAGAAATAATTTATTATTATATACTTGTTTCTCAGGTCTTAGAAAAATACCCCAATACACCCATGAGTCATAAAGAAATTCTTCAAGTTATCCAGAGAGAAGGACTAAAAGAAATCAGGTGAGTTACTTAAATATTATTAGTAATAATTATAATACTTGATTAGAGTGTTTTGTAGTATATAGCAGTGTACTTTAGCCCTGAAGATTGATGATTTAGTAATAACTGCTTTGCTAATTTCTGATTTATTCAGTTGTCAGATCTCTGGAGTTTTCAGCCATAGCACAGTTATAAAACCACAAGTATGTTTAAAAAAAAATTCTTAGAATGTATCTTTTTCCATCCCATGCACTTTAATTCTTAGGAAGGCCTGGAGCCATCTTCAAACCTTCATCTATGAGTTCAGGCTTTTAATTTAATAAGCTTGGTCAGTAGCATGTAACAAGTATTCTCTAGTGCAGGGAGAGTGCTAGAAATAGACAATCTAGGAAGAAATAACCTTGGCCAAAAAGAATAAAATGGAAAAGGTACATATAGAGCAGTATGTATTTCAAATAATAGTTATATGTACAAATAAAACAGCTTGGGGTCAATTAATACAGGACCAAAGATAAAACACACTTTAATTTCTAAGAGCCTTCTATTACAATAGCACGTAATAGTCACTTCATAAACAAGACCTTCTGTCATCAAGAAATGTTAAAATTGGGGCAACTGGGTGGCTCAGTCAGTTAAGTGTCTGACGTCGGCTCAAGTCATGATCTCGCTGTTCACGAGCTCGAGCCCCACGTCGGGCTCTGTGCTGACAGCTCAGAGCCTGGAGCCTGCTTCGGATTCTGTGTCTCCCCTTCTCTGCCCCTCCCCCACTTGTCCTCTGTCTCTCTCTCTCTCTCTCGGTCTCTCAAAAATAAGTTAAAACATTAAAAAAATAAAAAAGAAATGTTAAAGTTATGTTCAACATACTTTGTATTGTTAACGTTGAAATCTGGGAGTCTACATGAGAGATATTTTCATTAAGATGGGAAAGGTTGGAGTGCTTTAAAACTGCTACTAGTTTTCTCAAGTGGGGGTGGTATTGTGTAAATTTATGGGGCTGTGTTTGATTGTCAAAGTGACTAGAAAGTACAGGAGCACGGTGGCATTTAACAGGTAACAAGATGCTAAATGTCTCACATTGTGCTGGATGGTCCATCACACTGGAGAATTGTTCAGCTCAGATGCCAGAGTAATAATGAGCTATGGTAAAATATTTGTAAACGGACAGTAATACATTTTTTGATAAATAGCTGTTGTGTGTTCTAGATTGTAATTCTCATCTTCTTGAATACAAAATTCAGTTTTTTGCCCTTGTTTGCTAACAGAGCTCAAAAAATTTTGTTTGATTTGTGGCCAAATGTCAATAGGCTGGGAATAAAATAGGTTTGTGTTATGACTTTGAAGGAATGAAGTAAAATTAGTGTATTTCACTTTATGTAACATAAGTCTCTCAGAAATTGTGTGAACATTTAAACATTTTTGTAAATTAAAAAATTAGTCACTTAATTTATCAGTGATATAATTCTAAATTTTTATTTGAATTAGATAAGACTTATTAGATTAAAGCATAATGTCCATGTAATAACAGATCAATTTGTACAAAGCTACAGGAGCAAAAGGTAGTGATTTTTGTGGTTCTGTGGAACAAATTCTGCTAAGGTGTTCTAATGTTTTTTTATAACACTATGGGGTTTTTATAGAATATGAATGGGCAAGAGATTTCATTTTTTCCCCCTTAAAATTAGACTTTTGATGCACACCGGGGACATAGACCAGGATATCTGGTGTGTAGAGAGTAAACTACCCTCAGTCCCTTAGGTCTCAGTGACAGGTGCAGGGTCATCTGGCTCCAATATACTAAAGCTCTGTGACTTTACACTTATCGTTATCATTTCTAGGAAGCAGGCAAGAATAGTAAATATGTGAAGAATAGTAAATAAATAAAAGAAGGGGAAAAAAAGAGATTTAGAAAAAAATAGCAAAATGGTAGAGTCAGCAAAAATAGCTTCTGGCTTCACTTCGTGATAACAATTTATAAGTAGCTGCTCTTGGTTAAACTACATTGTTGTGATGCAATTGTGTAACGACAAAGCAGTTCTTTCTAAGTCACCATTGACTTCCATTTTGTTAATTCCATGGGACTTCTAGTTACTCTTACTACTTAGCATTATTTAACACAGTTGACTACGCCTTCCTTTTTGAAACTCTGTTACCTGAAGCAATTACAAACATTTCTCCTCTCCTCCTTCCTTCTCAGTTTTTTTTCCTTTGATCATTACCTTCTAACTTAAGTGCAATTTTGTCCAATCCCATAGCTTTAAATATTATATGTTATCAATTCTCAAATATGTAGGGAAGCTCTTTCTTACTTCAGCCTTTGTATATGCTGACTTTTTTTTTTTTTTTCAACGTTTTTATTTATTTTTTTTGGGACAGAGAGAGACAGAGCATGAACGGGGGAGGGGCAGAGAGAGAGGGAGACACAGAATGGGAAGCAGGCTCCAGGCTCTGAGCCAGCAGCCCAGAGCCCGACGCGGGGCTCGAACTCATGGGCCGCGAGATCATGACCTGAGCTGAAGTCGGACGCTTAACCGACTGAGCCACCCAGGCGCCCCATATGCTGACTTTTTAACAAGGAATGTGCTTTTACCTCAGTTACCTCTTATTTTTTACATGTCAGTTTGAATATGTCTTTTTCAGAGCACTTTGGCTGACTTTAGAAGTTAGAGCATATTTCCTTTTTTAGTGTATTATAGTGTTCTGTTTATTTCTTCATACCACCTAAAGTTTGAAGTCACATATTTTTGTGATCTTAAAAAAGTCATCAAGCTTCTCTATTGCTTACATTAAGGTAGCTCCATGAGGAGTGAAATTTGCTCTTTGTCCCCCTTCTCTTTTGTTTTTGGCATATGTCAGACATTGAAAACCTACCTGTTATATATGTGAAGTATTAGTAGTTGGGAGATCACATTCAGATGCAGTTACAGCTTATTCTCTTGCTGCAGTGATGTGTTAAATGATAGTCTTATAATCATTAAAGTTTTTAGATTACTGAATGAAATAGATAATATCTTTATTAAAGATGTGCTGCTTTTTACAGTTTAATTTCCATTCCTCAATCCATAGTACGTGGCTTTCAGTTCTTTTTTCCCTTTGTAGTTTTCCCCATCTTCCCCATTTTGAAGAAGCTCACTTAAGTTTGATTATTCCACATTCTGTTGTTTTATTTTAAAATACATTAAAGTGGACACAGCCTAAATGTCCATTAAAAGATGAGTGGATAAATAAAACGTAGTATATAATTTCAGTGGAATATTATCAGCCTTAAGAAAGAATGAAATTCGGATACATACTACACGGATAAACCTTAAAAACATGCTAAGTGAAATAAGACACAAAAGGACAAATAGTGACGTGACGACAGGAAAAAAAAGGACAGATATTGTACAGTTCCATTTGTATGAGATACTTAGAACAGGCAGACTGATACAGAGACAGAACGTAGAATAGAGGTTACCGGGGACTGAGAGTAGGGAAGAATAAAGAGTTATTGTTTAATTAGTATGAAGTTTCTTTCTGGGATGATGAAAAAGTTATGGAAATGGACAGTGGTAATGGTTGCCCAGCATTGTGAATGTACTCCATGCCACTGGAATCTACACTTAAAAATCCTTCAAATGGGGGCACCTGGGTGGTTCAGTTGGTATAGTGTCCGACTTTTGATTTTGGCTCAGTTGTGATCTCACGGTTTGTGAGATTGAACCCTGCGTCGGGCTCCACTCTGGCAGTGTGGAGCCTGCTTAGGATTCTCTCTCTCCCTCTTTCTCTGCCCCCCTCCCCCCCAAAATAAATAAATAAACTCTAAAAAAAGGTTCAAATGGTAACTTGTATGTTACATATATTTTGTCACAAAAATAGTATTAAAAGGTAAGTGATTGGCTCCTGGTTGAGAAGGACAGAGGTACTGGTTCCTTTAAGAACTTAAGAGTTTTTAAGAGGTTTTCTGCAGTCTTTGAGCTGTACAGTTTTATAAGTCTCAGGGTCTGGTCAACAGACAGAAGCTACATGGTAATTTGAACAGGGAAATTACTAAGTTAACTAGTTATTAATTTGTTAACCAGAAATTAACTATTAAAAGGGAGCAGCCAGTACCTGCAGGGCTGAGGCAGTGTGACCTAAGGAGACCCCTCCATGTCCCTAGGCTGTTATTCAGATCTTAATGGACAAGGTAGGGCTCTGGTCCCGTGGATGACAAAGTTCACTAGTGCTGTAGCCTGGGCTAGCACTTAGGAAACTCCCTACTGAGTATTAGGAGAACTTGTTGGAAAACCTCCTGCTGGGCACCTGTCCCACATTCACTGGGAGCCAGCTGAGGCTCCAGCAGAATTTTCTGGGAAGCCACCCACAGGCATTCTGCTGAACCTTGCTGAAGGTGGAGGGCCGTCAAGTGTCCTTCATGTTGCTGGGTGCTGCATGTCATAAGAGCAGGCAGGCAACAGTACAGTAAAACCAGAAAGAAAAGCGCCCTTTCATGCTGTAGTGTTCCTCCAGTGCACTATTGACAAACTTAACGTTGAGCCAACTGGCAGAGGAGAAGTGTTTATAGGGTCCAGCTCCACTACTACAGAGAGGACAAAGGAAGCTGGATTTGGAGCTAAAAGTCAATAAATTGATAACTAGCACAACAGCCTTCAGTAGTTTTTCAGTAGAATAACTGAAATCATTGTCTGGCCCCATATACCATTTTGTTTTACTTGATTTGTTTCCATCTTCACTCCAGCTAAACTGTATAGGCAGCACATAGTATTTTTTAAAGAAATATTCTATCTGATAATCATTGACATGATTAGATTTACTCTACCATTTCACTATTTTCTGTTTTTCCTTATATTTTATTTTACTGTCCCCTCTCTGCTGCCTTCTTTTGCCAGTGTTATCTGGCTGGCTCAAGTCTCTCAAAAGGCCTAGTGAATATTTCTTAATCCAAGGGCAAAGACCAGACCTCTCTTTGGGTAAAGGTAAATTCTTTACTACATACTCCCATACAAATCAAATTAGACTTCCCAAATGTGCCAGCTTTCTTAATTTTTAATGTTTAAGGTAGTTGCTTTTTAAAAATTGACATATAATGAACATACCATAAAAGCATTTTAAAGCATATGGTTCAGTGGTTTATTATTTAATGTATTTGTACAGAACATTTCCATTATCCCCAAAAGAAACCTTTCAGTATTAGTTGTCATTCCTTTTCCTTGCCCCACCCTCAGTGCCCCAGCCTTAGGCAACCTCTAATATGCTTTCTCTGACCATGGATTTGCCAATTTTGGATATTTCATAAAATGGAATCACACAATATGTGGTCTTTTTTGACTGGCTCCTTTCATATAGTATAAAGATTTGAAGGTTTATTCATATTGTATTATTTATCAGTACTTTATTCCTTTATTGCTGAATAATATTCCATTGCATGCATATGCCACATTTTATTTATCCATTCATCAGTTGATGGGCATTGGGGTTATTTTCACTTTTTGGCTATTATGAATAATACTACTGTGAACATCCATGTACAAATTTTTGTGTGGGAAGTTGCTTTCTGTATTTTTACAAGTTTTAGTGCAACCAGCCAGAAAGAGAGAGAGGCTGTTGTGGGTCTGCTCTCACCAAGTCTCACTCAATTTTAAATCATGAAATTGGATTGAGCTTTAAATTTGTGGAGTTCATGGAAACATGAATTAATCCACAAATTTCAGTTCAAAATCATTGTGTTTTTCTTTGGCTTAGAATAGAATTCCAGATTTTGGTGTAGCCTTTGTTTTTCAGTCATTTTAAAACTATAGGAAGGGGGTTTATCACAGATAGTCTAGTATAGGCTACTTAACACAAATATTTTATGACTAGTGTTTGAAACCTCCATGTTGAGTAGTTCTGTAATCGGAGCCAGTTTTTTGTACCAAATGAGTAATTGGATGTGAATAGAACACAGTAAACCAGTATGGATTTAACCACTGGTTAAATGTTTAAGCATCACTCTGTCCAAACGTGTAGTCAGTTCTCAAAAGGAAATAATACACCTGCCTCAAACATTTGCATCTGATAATTACAAGATGATATGTAGTCTGAATTATGATTTAGATAAATATATATATTTAGATGAATGTAATTTATGAAGAATGGCCTGCAGCAGTAGGAGTTGAAAGGGTTAAGGAGACTAATAAAGGGGCTGCTTTACTAGAGCAGGCAAACTATGGTGGTGTTTTGTTTGGATTTGGTAAGTAGTGCTGGGGAGAATAGATGGATTTAAGATACATATTTCAGGGCTTGCTGGCGGATTGGATGTGGAAGGTAAAAGGAAAGAGGAAATAAAAAATGATTTCTAGGCTTCCTGATTATATAGCTGCTATTTACTATAGAAAAAAACTGAAGAATGAACTGGACAAGTGAGGAGTTGTTAAAGGATTCACTGAGCATGTATTTGTGGATTCAAAAAAAGTTGTGAACCTTACAAGGGGTGAGGAGGTATTCAGGTGCAGGGCATGGTTATAGTATAAACTTCAAGGTCGCAGCTAAAAGGTAACAGTGATCTGGAGCTATAGAGTAGGTGTCTATTTTCAGAGATTAATACCTAATACCTGTTTGGCACATCATTGAGTAAAGAGTTCTGGTGTGTTATAGAATCCAAAAATGCATCCTTTCCTTTCATGATAATGTACTTTCACTTATGTTACAAGTCTCGGTTAATAAGATACTGAAGACAGTTACCTAAATATAAATTTTTACTTTTATAAAATTGCAAATGGAAAGAAAAGCATACATTCTCCAGCTAAATTATAAATTGTCCTCTCACCCTGGACTGTTTTGAAGTCAATCTTAGGCATTTTATTACTTCAGCAACGCAGTATATATCCAACAGAGACGAACTCAAGAGACTGTGCAAATTGAATATTTTGGCTTATCAGAAAAGCAAACAACTAAACATAGACATTAAGTGTGCAATACTGTTGGTGAAACATACACAGAATACTCCATAAGTCAAATGTTTGTGTGTGTTTTATACAATTCCCATGAATCCTTTACTGTTAATCACTCTTCACTACTTCTTTCCTTAGTCTTGTACAGCAGGTTTCTCCCCTTCATCAGCTGTGGCAGCCATTAATGTTTAAGTATAGGACTTCAAGCCTTCCTTCTAAATTAGCCATTGCTTTTAGTGCCTGCGCCCCCCCCCCCCCCAGGTTTTCTTCACCTGCTTTGTTCATCCTTTAGCTGTATTACCTTGACTCTTCTTATATCTGCTATTAGAGAAAGAGAGTTTTTAGCAAAGAAGAGAAAAATAACTATTTTCTGAAACCCTTTTCTCTTACTACTATTTCTTTCCATTCATAAGAGAAACTAGGAAGATTCTTGGTATTATGAATTTATCATCCACAGATTATTTTCTGAATTAGACCATTTATGAGTGGTCCCAAGGGTTCATGATATACAATAATTAATAATTTTGGTGAGTCATGAATTTGGATCTTGTACACCATAAAATTGATGTGGGAGAATAAGTTATGTAGCTAATAAAAGAGTGTAGCCACCTACCTAGCTTTTAAATTATAATTTAAAAAATTGGATTTTTTTGCAAATGAAGTTTCTCTAGCTGTTTACAGCATGATGGCCCTGATTAACAGTACCCCCAGAAAGGTAAACCCTGTTGTATTCCTCACCCTTGCCTCCCTTCCCCAACCCCTTTTCCAAATCAGTCACATTATTTCAGTCACAGAATGTGATAGATGGAATAGTTAATTGGGATATTACCGTTACATGTCAATTTATTATTGAAGAATTTAGGCCCATGGAGATTGGTCAGGGTCAGACAACTGGTTCTGTGAAGGTAGAAACCCAGGCTTACTGTTTCTGGTTTTGTTCTTATTAATATATCATACTGTCTGTATATCCCTAGTTCTTCCTACTCTTTTGATTAGTATATTTGCTCGATTTTTCAAATCAGTCTTGTATTATGTGCTGGTACATAATAACATTAGGATAGTTGCTATCTAACTGTAAATTTCTTTCTGGAAGAATTTGGAACAAAAACCTCAGCCATTATAATAACTTGACTTCTGAAAGGGCCACTACATTTTTAAAGAATTTACAGTAATGGAACATTCAAATCTTTATATTGTTGTTTTGTAGAACTCCAATTTGTTCCCTAACAAGGAGTTGATTTTTTGTTTTTTTAATGTCTCAGTCTTGTATCCCAAGCAAGCTCCTTTAGAGTTGGAATTGTAAAGAACCTGGGAACCATCTAACAAAGATCATGCTCAATAAACAATTGCTAGATTGAAATTTTACCTCTTTGGAGGAGTCCCAATTGCATCTAATTAGTATTAATACATTTACTTATGAACAAGATAATCTCTTTCACATGGTATTAAAATAATGTTTTAGCTTACCTCATACCAAAAACGAATCTGAGCACCTAATTTTTTCCCCATCTCTTCTTTTGTAAAATATGTAGCAAGGGTAATAAAGTCAACATTCTCTACTAGTTTTCAGCAGAAATCATTATCTCTGCAGAATAGATCATTGGACTGTTTGCCAAGCTGAATTGCCTTAAGGTGATATACAGGAAAGTTTAAGAATGAAGAACATTATTGATTAAATTGATACCATATTTATCTGAAGTTAGCTGATACCTTTGAATTCAGCCTGTGTTTTCTTTATCTGCCTGTTGCAGTCTGCTTTCAAGCACACAAACCTTGTAGGGATATCAAAAAGGCTTAATAATGAAGAAACAAAAATCCACAAATGCTTGCATGTTAACAGAAAAGAGTATTCTTACTCATTGTTACTCAGCTTCACAGTAGTGGATTCATTATGGAAACTAATAAACCTTAGGGTCCATAGCTGATGGCTTTATGATGGCTCCTTGAAATTGAAATGCATGGGAAGAATATTAAAGAATACTCATTGTATCCACATTTGACTCAAAACTGCTTTAATAGTTTTAGTTTGTCACATAATTAAGGTATGCAGTTGTTATCTGAAATGGTTTAGACTATTTATCTGAGTTTAACTGTGCATGTCTAGACAACGTGATATTTTGGGCTAACTTGTAAATTCTAAAGAAGAAATGAATGTTCTATATAGCAAAGTGGGGGGAGGGTGCTAATTTGAAGAATTGTGGATATTGCTGGGAGGGGAAGGGAGAGTTTACTTTTTGGTTTTATTGTTAAAATTAAAAGCTTTTTTTTTTCTTTCTTTCATTTTCTTGGGGTGCATTCCAACTCCAGAAGGTAAGAAGTATTACTTTATTCTAAGGAAGTATATATAATGATAAAGTACACTTTTACAAGTTTAATTGAACTCATCTTTGGATGTGTGATTTTTACTTATAAAACTAAACAATTAGTCCAGAAACTAAATAAGAGTAGAAGTACTATGTAAATATTTATTATATGTGACTTTTTTTTGTCCTTTTAGTCTGTAATCATTATTTGGTCATAATTTTAGAAACCAGTCTACATTTGGCTTTATTAAAATTATCATTTGACATATTAGCATTGGAATACCTAGTGTTCATGCTGACTAATAATAAAAATATTTCAGATTGGAATTGTGTGAGCTAACATTTGCTTTATGACCATGATATTGAAAATATATGTTTATGCTCTGACTGATATAGAGGGAATATTGGTAAGTCTTCTAAGAGAATGATACTTATTTAAAACCAGGCTAGAACAGGTTAAAATTCATAGTTTGGATCCTTTATTGAATTGGCTTTTTTTCTGTGTTGACATAGCATTAAACACACCTCTTCTAAAACAGTTTTTATGTTATAATTACTTATAATTATCTGTCTTAGCTATGAGACTTTAGAATAGGAACCACATCATTGTATTTTCATGTTACTTGGACTTCGTATGGCTTTTAGTTACAGCTAAATCTTTTTAACTGCAGCCAAATTTGCATTCTATTAAGTTCGTTTATAAGAATCTTCATTTTTTTAGTATCAGTTTATGGAGAAAACCTTAATTCGGTTCGTGCGAACAGTTAAAATTATTTAAAAAATTTAAAACTAAGTAAGGTGTTTTTGTTTTTTGTGGGGTGTGTGTGTGTGTGTGTGTGTGTTTTGAGGGGGCCTTATATTGATTAGGTTCTTTAGGTGCAAATAACAGGAACCAAATGTGAAGAACTGAAGCAAAATGGGATATATTTGAAGAATGTGGGGTAGCTCATAACCTCAAAGGAAAGAAACAAACCCTGAAATTGAGAGAACTAAGTTAACTTCAGAGATCAGGTAGCTAGAACTAATGGATGGGCTCATTAGGACTCTGTAGCTGGGATGAATTAGTCTGTGTCTCTTCTGTTCAGGGTTAACATACAAGGAAGAGTGAACCTGGCTGGTTCAATGTCCAGGCATGGTGAGATCTTGATGGCCAGTCCTACAAGAGTGTTTCCAGTAGGGTAGGTCATAGTTCCCCAAAGCAAAGTGTACATTCTTTCCAGAAGAAGAGAGAATGTATTTAGCCAGGCAGAACCAACAGATGTCTACACATTGCTCACTGTAGAAAATTAGAGTAACAACAGGAAAATATAAGGTACAAGCAGTTGTAAGAAGTCATCCTTTATACAGATTCTCCCAATGGTAACAGTGTGCAGCATCGTAGTACAGTATCAGCAACCAGAATATTGCTTTTGATAACAGTCTACTTGATTTACTTGTACTCTTGTGTGTGTGTGTGCACATGTGGATGTGCATTTGACTCTGTGCGGTCTTACCACATGTATAGATACATGTATCTACCACCACAGTCAAAATACAAAACAGGTTTATCAACAAGAGGATCCCTTGTGTTGCCGATTTCATAGCCACACCTACCTCCCTAGTACCACCTCCATCCATCCCCCTCAGGCCAGCCACCACTAATGTGTTCTCTGTTTCTGTAATTTTGTCATTTCAATAATTTGTATTAATGGAATTGTATGAAATATATAATATTTGGGATTGACTTTCTCAGTGTAATGCCCTGTAGATTTCATCCAGGTTGTTGTCTGTGTCAGTATTTCGTTTCTTTTTTTATTGCTGAGTAGTATTCAGTGACATGGCTGTACAGTTTATTTAACTAGTCACTCATCGAAGGACATCTAAATTGTCTCCAGTTTTTCACCGTTACAAATAAAGCTTCTATGAAAAGTATACATGTTTTTGTGTGAACATAAATTTTCCTTTCTCTGGTGTAAATGCCCACAAGTGCAGTTGCTGATGTTGTATGGTAAGTGCATATTTAGTTTTTTGTTGTTGCTGTTTAAAAAATTTTTTTAATTCATTTTTGAGAGACAGAGTGAGTGGGGGAGGGGCAGAGAGAGAGGGAGACACAGAATCTGAAGCAGGCTCCAGGCTCTGAGCTGTCAGCACAGAGCCTGATGTTCGAACTCACGGGCTGCAAGATCATGACCTGAGCTGAAGTTGACACTTAACCAACGGAGCCACCCAGGTGCCCCTAGTTTTGTTTTTGTTTTTTTTAATGTTT